AGGAATAGTTTACAATTGGTTAATCTGTCCTCTTGCGCCTAGGGCGGCGAACAGTGCAGAGATCATAGCTATCCATGTCTGGCGGTTCGTTGCCACCTGCTTTAATTCTCAGATGTTTGTTAGGCCCATGGTTGAGGCTTCCCTGTTAATGGTTCTACGTAGAGTCTCTCTTGTTTCTTTCCCGTTTTCTTTTCCCTTCCGGTGTTCATAGTTCACAGTATAAAAGGTGTAAATACTGTCTGCATTATTCTTAGTATCGCTCTTTACAAATCTCTCATAAATCCTGCATAATTTCAGTCCCTCAATCTTCTGTATATTTGTTGACTTTTGTTCTCTATGATGGGATAATCTCTTGTATCTCCTGGGAAAATTACTTTTTGCCCCCAACATGCAAAGAAAAAGTAGATGAAATGAGGGTATCCGTGGCCAAGTGGTCAAGCCGCTTTCCTTGTGCTTTGAATGTCACAGATTCGTGTAATGGTCGTTTGGTTCATGAGTGCAATTTTTAAGGAGACCCGTGGGCACCATCACCGGAGCTATGGTATTTGTGTTTTGTGCGACACTCTCGACAGGCGGCTAGCCATTGTGCGGAGAGAGACCGAGCATTTGCAATAAAACCCGGTGCAATGAAGTCGATCCTCTCTTTTTTAAATTTCAACATGCAAATACTTGATCAACTTTATATTATAGTTAGATAAGTAATAATTTCAATTCCCGGTAAGGGTTGGGACTATTCCATGTGGACTTGGACTTCTTGTAATTCCCCCTGGTCTCTGGGTAGTGAGATCGGACGCCCGTGTGCAGTGTTGCGCAAGTAAAAAAAATCCCGTGGTAGTTGGAAATTTGAAAAGAGTAGCATAACGCGCAGCCCGCGAAAAATTTTTAGTTAAAAATCTACCCAAAGTATTTCAGGATCCTCGACGGTGCTCCAGAGCCTGTGCAATGTGATGAGCTTCTTCAGATTTTGACTTGCGTTAGAAGAAGAACGGAGCACTTATGGGTTACTACCCGTGTACTATGATGTTGATCCGTTGTTCACACTTCAAACAACAAATATTTTTTTGGTAATAAACAGTGTAAAATCTATGTTATAATATTCAACTATCTGGATGCTAGCCTGACAGTGGCTGACTGGGTCTAAAATCAGGAATTACTAACAGTGAAAAAAAAAAAAAAAACTTTCTACAACTAAAGTAACAATATTTTCTAAGGGGTCAAAAACATGTTGAACATAAAGCCGGTTGTTGAGGAGGCCTCACTCCTTGCCACTTGGCAAGATGGTTCTATGGTCAGTCTGGTGCTTCTTAATTAATGATTTGTGTTGAGCTTTCCTTGCAACGCTGAAAGTGATGACTAAGATATGGGAGATATTGACGTTTAACACAATGTGCAAAAAAGTGACACAGTACTATGTAAAATGGATACAAGTACTAATTCATTGTCCTGTTGTCCAATGTTATGTCACATAGGGCTCGCTGTCTGTTTCTCCCTTCCGTTCTATCTTGTGCAATCACTTCACTATCTCCCCGTGTGGATTCCGGGGCCCCATTGTAGGGAACACAAGAATCGACCCACTGCCTGCCCAAAAGCATGTCGTCAGGGTCGACTCATTGGGAGCTTCCTTCGAGGTCGGAGTACATCTGCCTGAGAGGCAACGAACCAACAGTCTGCATGGAAAAAACTGAGGCCTGTGACACGGATGTACAAGCAACACCCAGTTTGTTGAACAGGACTAGGAGTCCAGAAGTGGACGAACAACCAGAACTTTTCCGCCGAAGTTTACAGCTGGCGAAGAAGAAGAAGAAGACGAAAAAGAAGAAGAAGAAGAAGAAGAAGAAGAGAAGAAGAAGAAGAAGAAGAAGAAGAAGAAAGAAGAAGAAGAAGAAGAAGAAGAAGAAGAAGAAGAAGAAGAAGAAGAAGAAGAAGAAGAAGAAGAAGAAGAAGAAGAAGAAGAAGAAGAAGAAGAAGAAGAAGAAGAAGAAGAAGAAGAAGAAGAAGAAGAAGAAGAAGAAGAAGAAGAAGAAGAAGAGAAGAAGAAGAAGAAGAAGAAGAAGAAGAAGAAGAAGAAGAAGAAGAAGAAGAAGAAGAAGAAGAAGAAGAAGAAGAAGAAGAAGAAGAAGAAGAAGAAGAAGAAGAAAGAAGAAGAAGAAAGAAGAAGAAGAAGAAGAAGAAGAAGAAGAGAAGAAGAAGAAGAAGAAGAAGAAGAAGAAGAAGAAGAAGAAGAAGAGAAGAAGAAGAAGAAGAAGAAGAAGAAGAAGAAGAAAGAAGAAGAAGAAGAAGAAGAAGAAGAAGAAGAAGAAGAAGAAGAAGGAGAAGAAGAAGAAGAAGAAGAAGAAGAAGAAGAAGAAGAAGAAGAAGAAGAAGAAGAAGAAGAAGAAGAAGAAGAAGAAGAAGAAGAGAAGAAGAAGAGAAGAAGAAGAAGAAGAAGAAGAAGAAGAAGAAGAAGAAGAAGAAGAAGAAGAAGAAGAAGAAGAAGAAGAAGAAGAAGAAAGAAGAAGAAGAAAGAAGAAGAAGAAGAAGAAGAAGAAGAAGAAGAAGAAGAAGAAAGAAGAAGAAGAAAGAAGAAGAAGAAGAAGAAGAAGAAGAAGAAGAAGAAGAAGAAGAAGAAGAAGAAGAAGAAGAAGAAGAAGAAGAAGAAGAAGAAGAAGAAGAAGAAGAAGAAGAAGAAGAAGAAGAAGAAGAAGAAGAAGAAGAAGAAGAAGAAGAAGAAGAAGAAGAAGAAGAAAGAAGAAGAAGAAGAAGAAAGAAGAGAGAAGAAGAAGAAGAAGAAGAAGAAGAAGAAGAAGAAGAAGAAGAAGAAAGAAGAAGAGAAGAAGAAGAAGAAGAAGAAGAAGAAGAAGAAGAAGAAGAAGAAGAAGAAGAAGAAGAAGAAGAAGAAGAAGAAGAAGAAGAAGAAGAAGAAGAAAAGAAAAGAAGAAGAAGAAGAAGAAGAAGAAGAAGAAGAAGAAGAAGAAGAAGAAGAAGAAGAAGAAGAAGAAGAAGAAGAAGAAGAAGAAGAAGAAGAAGAAGAAGAAGAAGAAGAAGAAGAAGAAGAAGAAGAAGAAGAAGAAGAAGAAGAAGAAGAAGAAGAAGAAGAAGAAGAAGAAGAAGAAGAAGAAGAAGACTTCAATATAATGGATGGAATCCAGTCCAGCACATGTGGGTTCTCTCATCATTAGGGTTTCTCTAGAACACCCTCGTTTTCTCAGTCTCCCCATTTCGATGCCTGTGTGAGTTCTGATACTCATGCATATCAGCCCTGTCCTCACCGCCCCCTCAACAATTTACCATCAGCACTAGAGTTCCATGGTTAGGGAGTCCTTATACTCGTGCACAATAGCCTTCACCCCTCAGCAGTGTCCCATCAGCTCTAGAGTTTCATAGCAGGGGAGTGCTGATAATTGTGCACACCACTCCCACCGCCCCCCCCCCATTCCCAACCCCCGCCCCAATAACCCTCACCGGGTAATAGAGTACCAGTCCAAGCCAGTCGTTTTGGTACAGTTAACACTTCATAGCCAACACTTTGCACACAAAAAAACCAGACCACAATCATCGCCGAAACTGTTTGCAGTTTAAGTGAATTTAGTCGATTTAAAAAAAAAATACTGAGTGATGGAAGACAGCTCCTGTTTAAAAATTCTCTGTCTTATAAGTGTTGATACCAATGGGTGCCACACACTCAGGGATATTGCTGTAGTTGGGATCCGAGCGCTTATGAACTTGTCCGATGTTAAGTGAGGATAATCTTTTGGTCAACTAACTAAAATAAGTGTCACGGTTGAGCTAGGCTTGGTGAATTTGTACCTGCTTGCTTCTCATCCTTAAAGTGGTAATCCTAAAGACTGAAATCCTAGACGGCACAAACAAACCTAGTTACAAATTAGCCTGATATCCATTGTTGGTGGTTTGCCATCTTTCTCAATCATGTCATAAAAGACGACCAATGAGGGTGTTTCCTTCGAAACAAGTGCCTCTGTCTGAAAGGCAAAGACCCAACTATCTGCATAAAAATAAACCCCTTGTGTAAAACGGGTGTGCACGTAATACTCTAATTCCGGAACTAGACAAAAGCCTAGAAGTGGACGAACAGCCAGAACTTTCCGCCCGAGTTTACAGCCGGTGTATGCCAAGAAGAAGAAAATACAACGACACTGGTGCTGCTAAAAAATTTAAGGCCGTTACCTCTTGTATGTTTTTTCCAGTCTCTCGTTTTCCAGCTTGTACTGTCGAACATCGTTGATTACATTGAGAAGGATACTCTCAAACTGCGATACCAGTTCCGGTTTGTCGACACTGTGCAGACCCTGATACAGCTCACAGACCTGTTCCTGGCTGTGGGTGAGCAAAAACAAGTTCGATTTTACAAGTCTATTGAAAAAACAAATGCAAGTTCCGAAGTTCAGTTAACTATCTGTGCATTTGTTAGCCATTTATAATCAGGGAAAAGAAGAAAACACAAAGGGGGAAGAAAAGGGGGATGGGGTGCTGGCTAGTGGAGAAGAAGAAAAAGAAGAAGAAGAAGAAGAAGAAGAAGAAGAAGAAGAAGAAGAAGAAGAAGAAGAAGAAGAAGAAGAAGAAGAAGAAGAAGAAGAAGAAGAAGTGGAGAGGAGGATAATGTGTATCGTCGTAAACGAACCCAACAAGTGTTGGCTATGTGGTTTTACGAGGCAATTTTTACGTTCGTTGTTTGCCATAGCTTTCTGAAAAAGCACAGCGGTAAAACTGCTGTTGAAATCTACGCAAGCTGTCTTCTGCCAAACAGCCCGCATCTTACTCGAATCATGTATGTCTGGTCTATGGAACTGCCAATAGCCTGCCATACTACCTTTAATAGATTTTAATTTCCAAAACCTGTATAGCACACATCCTTACCTGTAAAGGACTGCGGGTCATACCAGGCTGGAGTAGCCGTAACGGGTGTTCTAATTATAACTTCCTGGAGCCCGAAAAAAGGAGGTCATAATTGCTGAAAGGGGTTTCTGGGACCTCTTCACAGTGATCCTCATCCACATGGTGGCATTTGGTGTCACCGGGTGTTTATCGCTTGTGTGATGTCTTGGTGTTAAACAAGCGAGCGAGCGAGGAGGCATGGCAGTCCCAGCCCATGGCGATGGTGAGTGTGACTAGCAAGACCCGCCCGCGTTAAGAAAAGTCTTCCACAATTAAAGCATGCATTTCAGGACCATTGCTGTCAACATTTGTAATTAGTATGTTTCTTCTCTGGCGCTCAGCCCTCCTCCTTTCTGTGGTCATTTCTTCCTTCATTTTCATTTCCTTCCTGATGTGCCCCCTCCACACAACACGGTCCATATCATTTTGTTCCATGAGTCCGTCTCAATACCTGTATCATTCATTTCCCGCCTGCCCACATCTTTATATCGTAGTAGAGGTCGGCCTCGACATCTTCTTCCAATCTTCAATTCACCACAAAGGATGTGGCGCTGCACTAAGTCACCTACAAAAGTGTGTCCTGTTTTAATGGAAGGTAACATCTGGTACAATGTAGGTGTCTGTGCTAAGGATATTACTCAGCGTCCTCACGTATGTCCTTACGTTACAAGCACGAAACCGCCATTCTCAGTGTGATTATCGAATCTGGTATATAAATATGGTTTTGTTCTACTAAAGTTGTGGGTGACAAGAAAAAGGAGGGAGGGTTAAACATGTAGGAATAAGCATACAGTTAAATAGATAGGCAGCTAGGTCGGTACAAAAGATGTTTTGTATACAGTTTGAAAGGTCAGATGTGGGTAGCATCGGCATATATAAGAGAAGTCAGACAGACAAACAGACAGACAGACAGACAGACAGACAGACAGACAGACAGACAGACAGACAGACAGACAGACAGACAGACAGACAGACAGACAGACAGACAGACAGACAGACAGACAGACAGACAGACAGATGTGGGGCTTCTTAAAATAGTTTAAGTCAACATGATTTAAATTATAATATTGACGAAACTACCCTTACGAGGTTATTGATTTAACCCCCCCCCCCCCCCTTTGTTTGTGGGATTGGGCGGGTGATGAATGGGGCTACCTCCATCAACCTGGTGAATGTGTTTTAACGAGATATCGACTCTCCCGCTGTTTGAGTTCACACATGTTCAAAAGGACGTCATCTATTGTCACGATTTAACTCCTTCGTACCACGTAGACATTTTTTTTTTTTTTTAACTCCTTCTATTCTAATAAGATTCACTTGAGCTAATAATTTTGGTTGTCTGTGTAGTTAGAAATACTAAGGAGCAGAAGGAGTTACAATGAGAGGTGAAACAAAGTGGGTTCGTGTAACTGCTGAAGTGATCACAAGGAGTTCAGACAAGTACGTGACTTCCACAGAACTATCCAATGTATAAGACACTCTGATTATGGGACCGGAAGTCTGGGGTAAAAAAATTATATGATTACATAAATGTTACTGAAAACACACTTCGTTCACCCTAGAATCTGTAAAACTCCTCATCTCTGTTAAAAACTCTCATCCATTTGATAGTTATTTAGCTCGTATTTGTATGCTTCTGGTGATGAATCTCCTTCTTCATATACTGCCTCAGCCTCAGTTCTATCTGTTGCATTTGAAATGCTACACTTTTTGAATGACTTGACAACGATCTAAATCTTCACATTATCCCAGGATCTTTTCACCCAGGGACAAACATATTCTACATCTGGTTTCTGTACACTACCTGCTGATGTCAACTGTCCCCCATAAAACTGAAAGTATTTGTTCTATCTGTCGGAGTGAATGATGGATGATTAACCCCACTATGACCACACAAGCAGCGAGTAACATCCTGTGTCAAAAAATGGCACCATTTGGATGAAAATCATCTAGGCGCAAGTGCCAGAAAACCCCACAACCGTTAGGTTATATTAGGGCTCCCGGCGACAGCCTTGGTGGGGCTTTAAAAGCATCCCATAATAGGACGAGGTCATTTCCATTCGTGTCTCACGGCAACTTTTTTGTTTTTATTTCGTTCCTGAATTGGCATTCCAGAATAAGGCTGTGTACGAGATAGTTTCTAACAATTCAGTTGGTAAAAATCTACTACCACTGGATATAACGCCCACTATTTCCAAACCCTATATTTTTTGTGGAAAAGCGCTTCTTTTACTTGAGGAAATACGGTAGATCGAGACAGATGGAATCACCGGACGCATGGTGAGTTGTTTTGGCACTAAATGAATGAAACTGCTATCAGCTGGTGAAGATCTAAACCACTTGACCTACGAAATGCTTATTCTCTTGCCGGCTCCCTGATACCAGGTTGTAGCCCAGTGTCGTGGTTTCGTCGTCGTATTGATACCAGGTTGTAGCCCAGTGTCGTGGTTTCGTCGTTTCACGGATACCAGTTTGTGTAGCCCAGTGTCGTGGTTTCGTCGTTTCACGGATACCAGGTTGTAGCCCAGTGTCGTGGTTTCGTCGTTTCACGGACACCAGGTTGTAGTCCAGTGTCGTGGTTTTGTCGTCGTATTGATACCAGGTTGTAGCCCAGTGTCGTGGTTTTGTCGTCTCCTTGATACCAGTTTGTAGCCCAGTGTCGTGGTTTTGTCGTCTCACCGATACCAGGTTGTAGCCCAGTGTCGTGATTTTCTGTATTTGTCTTGAGTTTCTCGGGGGTCTTGAATGATGGATTTGTTCATCTTTTTGCAGGTTTCGGCGACACCATCTCTTTCTTTGTCTTCCTGTCGCCTTCCTCCCATTTTTTCTGCTGTAAAAACTCTCATATGCAGTTTGGCTGGCTGCATTATTACTAGATGACCGAACAGTTAGTGACCTTGCCCAGACAGCGCATTTCACATTTAGTTATTTTCGGTTCTAGTGCCCTATTCACTGACCTACCATCTGTATTTACAAATAAAGTTCTTCCGCTTCTTAGTGTTTACCGGCTAAAAACTCCGGCAGAAAGTTCTTGTTGTTCCTTCACTCCTGGACTTTGGTTGTCACCCAGAAGTTTTGAGAGTTATATTCGCACATCTGTTTTACAGATCTAGTTTATTTGTATGCAAACAGTTTGTTCTTTGTCTCTCTGACAGAACCGATCCGATTCGAAGGAAACTCCACTAATTAGTCGCCTTTTACGACATTTTTGCTACAGAACAAGCAGTGGATCTATTCCCCACCCCCCCCCCCCCTCACCTCCTCCCCCTGAACAAACACGATAAAGATCTGGTCCAAACCGAGGTCTAAACCATTTGACCTACGAAATGCTTATTCTCTTGCCGGCTCCCTGATACCAGGTTGTAGCCCAGTGTCGTGGTTTCGTCGTTTTACCGATACCAGGTTGTAGCCCAGTGTCGTGGTTTTGTCGTTTCATCGATACCAGGTTGTAGCCCAGTGTCGTGGTTTCGTCGTTTCACTATTGGAATGGCCCTCTAATTGCAGAATTTCATAACTGTGACCCGTTGTTTTGTTAACAGCATGTTATTGAGAGAAAGTGAAGGGTAAGTGTGCAAGAGGACAACAATCTTACATGTGGGTGTAGAACTGCAAGAAATGGAGTCGAAGATGAAAATGTGAATGCTCTAACTAGGCAAGAGGGTGTCAGATACTGAATACATTCGGTCTTCCATACTGTGTAGAGTCGCCTTGGAGTTGGCGGCTAGACGCCCGCCTGCGGATCGGAAGGTGGTGGGTTCGTGTCTTGGCGGAACCTGCATTTTTTTTTTTTATGAACTTGACTCCCAGGATGACCCAGCTTTGAGTGGGTACCAGGTGCAGTCCTGGGACATGAAGGCGACCAGTGTGTTATTGACCACATTACACACCAAGTGCCGGTTATCTATAAAAATACAGGTCTAGATTTATATGAACAATACACCTAAACGCGTGGAAAAGGGACCTTTACTTCATACTGTGATGATAGTAAATATGTGATTTACCTTCTGCGGCAAATGTTTTACTAGGCTCCTTTGTTGTGTTAATTGTCTTAGTTTTTATTACACTGCTGCTGCTAATTGCTATATTTTTTTTAATTGCAGAGGTTTTTAATATGCCTAATAACTGGCTAATAAACAACATCTTGTCTCAAGCTGAAATATTTTAGTCATATCAAGCGCCATGGCTGATTTAGAACAAACTAATAGCAGAAGGCATGGTACCAGGAAGGAGAGGCAGGGGCAGACAAACACGAAGACGGGCACAGGATGTAAGTGACTATGTGAATATGAAAGTACATAGGGCGGAAGAGCTGGCGAGAGACAGACAGTGATGACAGCGACGTTCTGCAAAGGACTTGCAACATGATGATGATGAAAAACTGACCACCCCCCCCCCCCCCAACTAAACCCCACACCCACACCACCCCATGTTTCCTACGGCTGCTACCAGTAAACTGAACGTCAATCAAACAGAAGAAATATCAGTTTTCCTGTTCACCCCGAAGGTTCTGGGTTCAAATCCACGCGGAGTCGATGATTTGTTTTCCTCTAACTGATGCTGGCTCCGAGGTCGACCTAGCCTTAAACGATGACCAGAGAATATCTGAGAAACTAAAGTGATTGGTGTCATGTTGTCCACGTCACACCCAATGAGTGCCAGTTTGTACATGTAAATATGAGTCTGGAACATATTCCCTACGCGTCATTGGCATGAAGAAAGTCTTTAGATTACTTAAGTTTTATCCTTTTCAGTATATTGTAAACTAAAACAAGCACACAAAGCTTATCTGTGATTTCACTAGGCAGTTTTACATGCCTAGTATAACAGCATTAAAGGTAAATTACTAAGCATCAATCAAGGTCACAGTTTTGAAGGCATGCACCTTTCTGTAGTAACATACGGTGGTGAGTCCCTTGGGAGCTAGTGAGCAGTGCGGAGGGACAAATAGATCGTTCTGGTGAGAATGGCGCTGCGGGGAGTTACCAAGGGATCTCGCCGACGCTCAACACTCAAGGGAAAGGTGAACTTAAGGAATGTACATTCAGACAGTTACTGCTACCTCGGAATTAGAATTCTTTCCTTGCTGCTGAAGATTTGGACGGAATGCTTATGGGAGTGTCGCGAGGGCTATGCTGTATGCTGTCGATTCCTAATTCAACATTCAAGGCCACATTACGGAAACCTTTTGAGTAACCAACTGGACAGAGAAATCAAATCCAGAGATGAATGGAAGGAGTGGTATCTGCAGTATGAACCTCAAAGACTCGGAATGCCAAAGAAGTTTACCCTTGCTGTTAAAAAAAATGAATGTACACATACACATTACATGCGACGACTATACTCACCATGACAGTGTTCTGAGGCCCTCGTCAAGACCGTTAGAAAACTCTTCTGTGGTATTTGTTCCTTGGGTATCGCCCAGCAGGTTCTCCTCCGAGATGGCACTAGTCAGGCGTTGTCGAATCAGCTGACGCTTTTTTGTTTCTTTGGCCATGGCGATTTCCCTGCGGGAAGACAGGAAGATAATACTTGCAACAAGTTCGCAATCCGAGCATGCTTAAACATGGACAGAATAGGGAACGTTTAAATTCGTTACATGCAGAATTGTGACACTTGTAATTTTAAGTAAGTGAGTGAGCGAGCGAGCGAGTGAGTGATTGAGTGACTGTGTGAGTGAGTGAGTTAGTGAGTGAGTGAGTGAGTGAGTGAGTGAGTGAGTGAGTGAGTGAGTAAACAAACGAACGAACAAACTTTATTTTTTCAAAGGGTTACAAATTTGGCACAGAGGCCCGTCTTACATTTGGCCCTTTCAAGCACTTATGTGAGTGAGTGAGTGAGTGAGTAAGTGAGCGAGCGACTGAGTTAGTGAGTGAGTGAGTGAGTGAGTGAGTGAGTGAGTGAGTGAGTGAGTGAGTGAGTGAGTGAGTGAGTGAGTGAGTGAGTGAGTGAGTGAGTGAGTGAGTGAGTGAGTGAGTGAGTGAGTGAGTGAGTGAGTGAGTGAGTGAGCGAGTGAGTGAGTTAGTGAGTGAGTGGGCTAGGTAGAGAGACATGCAAGTAATGAACGACGTTAATAGTTAGTCGAGGTTCCAGCATCTCATAAGACAGATCGCCCAATAACTGCTCCATTCCTTAAACATTGAAAATCACACAAAATATCCTACCCTATCCTATTTTAAAACAATTAACACACTTGTCAGTCGCAGCGTAATCCTGAAGCTTGCACATGCAAAGTAAAAAAGCACAAGGTAAGTGTCAAATGGGCCAACACTAACAGTCTTATGCCAAAACTATAGCAAATGATCTATCACGAAATCCAGCGTTGCACCCGCAAAAGTATTATACGTCATTCTGAACGTAATCAGCACCCAGCTATTTTGTGAAGTCAACAATGAAAGGGGGCGCAAATGTAACACACAGATCGCAGTGCCACACCAAGCACTCAACTTAAAGCTGGGCGACGGAACCTGTGGACTCTCGGACCAGACATATGCTATTCTATCAGTAAAACCTAGTTTTAAACAGACAACTTTACAGAGCATTAGCTTACACCGGTTATCGGCTATTTTTAGCCATCCGTTGTTATGATATCTGAACAGCAAGGAAGACTGGCCAATAAACAGCATCTCGCAACGAAATATGAAATATTTTGGAAGTACCAAGCGCCATGATGGATTGAAAAAAAAATAATCTTCAGAAATCATGACTCAGAAAGGAGGGTCAAAAGGGCACAGGATGTAAATGACTCTTTGGGTATGATAGTTCAGGAAGCAAGAGAACTGGAGAGAGATCGCGCCCCTCCCCCCCCCCTCACCTTTTCCCCTCTCCCAGATAAGAGATCGACATTCTGCAGAAGACCTGCTGCATGATGATGATGACTCTTATGATATAATCAGTTAATGCTGTTTCTGGGTCTAGCTTGTAAATAACATACACATTTCAGTGACCACACCGAAAGGATTTAAAACCACACACAAAAAAGCACTCATTTCATTTAAAGTCATAACATGTAGTAGAATGGAAACATATGGCTTTGACCAGACTGGGATAATCAAAATGTTTATTTAAGAAAACTGCACTATATCATAATAACTAGGATAGCTAATGGGAAAAGAGATAGAAAACGAAGAGCAAAAAAAAAAGGGGGGGGGGGGGGGGGGGGGCGGAGGACTGACAGACAGAGCGAGCAAAAGAACTTTTTTTCCAAAGGGTTACAAACTGAGCACGCAGGCCCATCTTATATTCGGCCTTTCTAAACATTCATTTATATCAAGTCTGTTATGTAAAATGTCAAGAGTCAAAAGTTACTGCATAAATGTAAATCAGAAATACAAAGGTATGGATGATAAATGAATACCTTAAAATATACACATTTACTCACACATCGCAGACCCACGCAAGCACACACATACACACTGCCTTTACACACTAAGAAGCGCACACATTGATGACACAGACAAAATAAGCGTCCGTGGCTTAGGCGTTGCGAGTCCGACTCGTAATTCCAACACACCGCGATCGAAACCCAGTGCTCGCTGCGTGGAATTTTTTATTATAGTACAGGGCGTCGCAGGTCGACCCAGTCTAAAATGGGTACCAGGATGGCTGTCCTGGGGAAGTAAAGACGGCCGGCGTAATGCTGACCACATTACCCACCTAGAGCCGATGATCTGTAAAAATATGGGCGCTCTTCCCATATACCCGATACGCCTAAGAACGTAATAAGGGATCTTTTATTTATTTTACTTACACAAAATCACAGACAGAACACATACACACAACACATACATACAGAACAAAATCTCACAGTCACATTTTCACATAGACACGACTTCCTCAGAGACAACAGATGCCGATACAACATACACAGGCATGCATACACAACACATACAAACTAACGCAACCAACAATGCATACACACAGACTCAACATAAGCACATTTTTCACAAACACAGAACGCATAGACACAACTGGTAGACAGAGAAACAACAGACAAACAGACATTCAGACAGTCGTGAAACAAAGAAGTGCGGGAGATTTCTTACTGCTTGAAAAAAAAAAAAAACCAGTAAAGATCCCTTTTCACGCCTTTAAGCGAATCGAGCATTTGGGAAGAGCACCCATATTTTTACAGACCAATCGGCACTAGGTGGGTAATATGGTCAACATTACGCCGGTCGTTCTCACTGCTTTACCAAAACAAAAAACAGAATACACAGAAGATTGACTTGAAAAGGACCATGTACCAAACTATGACAACTGATCTTATCTGCTTACACAACCATGGAAATTCAGCCCTCGGGCGGATGATTTCTGAGGCTCTAAATAAAATGTGCCGCTTTTGTGGCTTTCCGGACACGGTAAGAAAGTTGCAGCGTGGAAGAGGTTTAAGCCTCACAACTAAATATTGGTTTCCGCCTCAAGTGCTAGAAGTTCCTGGTTCAATCCAAGGGCTGGGATTTTTTCACGTAGACTTGGACTTTTAGTAATTTCCCCTGCTATCAGGTAGTGAGATCGAATGCTTGTGTTCATTGTTGCGCACGTAGAAAAAAAAAATACTTTGGCAGCTGGAAATCGAAAAGAGTAGCCTAACGGCGCTGCCCAAGCTAATTTGGAGTTAAAAATCTACCCAAAGTATTTCATGATCCACTCCGGTTCTTCAGGGCCTGTCCACTGTGCTGAGTCTCTTAGGATTCAGACGTGAGTTAGAGAAGAACGGAGCACTTATGTGTTACGTGTGCCATAATGTTGATCAGTTGTTCAAACTTCAAACTTCAAACTTTTAACGTAACATTGTTACATACAGCAGACGAGTGGGGTGCCGTTAAGAGAAACCACATTACTATTTGCTTGATTTATTCTGGTCATCTTTGTCTTTCCCTCATGGATTTTCAGACATTATGATCTTGCATCAAGTAGATTTATCGTGCATCTCCGTTAGTGGGACAGAAAAGAAATATCATCAGTCAAGTCTAGATCATCAAGCTTTTTGTAGGGGTCCACTGAATTCCATTCGTGGTGTTAGCAGTTTCTGTCTTTATAATCCAGTCTATTGCCAGTAAAAATAGGAGAGTCGACAAAAGACATAACTGTTCCAGACCTGTTTTTATTTCAAGTCTGTCAGCCTTCTCTCATAAAGAACTGGATATTTTTATGTCTTTATATGTTGCCTTTACTAAGTTAATAATTTTCTGTGGGATTCCCTATTAATTTTTAGAGATATTCCCTGTCAAAAGATTTTTTCAAAGTCTATGAATTTAATGTAAAGTGGTGAATTCATTTCAATGCTTTTGCTCTATTACTATACGTATCGTGGCTACCTGGTCAGTACAGGATCTATTTAGACGCTCCTACCACCCCACACCCTTCCGGTCGTGACACATGGTCACTATTGGGACGTTTGCAGCTCCTCCCCCTTCGGATTTTTAAAGTAATATTTTATGTTAAGCAACCTTTTCAGATTAGATCGAGTGCAGTGTCTCTAATTTTCAACACTGGCTAAAACCATTCTTACCTGTACCCTTTTGCGAATTCGTCAATGCTGATCCGTCCATCGCCGTCTTTATCCAACTGTTTGAAAACATCACTGAGATCTTCAATAGATAACTCGTTACATATGTAGGCCAATTCTTCCTGATCGATATATCCAGAACCATCCAGATCGCAGGCGTGAAATAACTGTCCCAACTCCTTCTCTTTGTCTATGCTAGTCATTGTGAGGATCGTTATTCAAATCATCGGCAGTTATACTTCTCTTGGATGCTTCAATCTGAATAAAACAGAATCACATTTGAATTTGTTAGTATTTTGAAGCCACAATAAGCAAAACAGCAGCTGCACACTATGCAGTAATAGTTTACAGTGAGAAATTGGGCTAAAAGCTAAATTGCAAGACAACGGAAATAATGGTCGTCACCAAAAAAGAAATATCAAAGTGTGAAATTCACGCAACAGCAAATTTCTTAAGCAAGGTAATAGATTCAGGAACAGGTTTAGAAACGTCATAAAATCTAATGTTACATCATGCCACCGACTTTATGTAAAACAACTTTTCAAAACTATTTGTTCAACGTAGAATGAATTACAAGGGGGAAAGCAAGCATTATATCTTCTTCTTCTTCTTCTTCGCGTTCACCAGCTGTACACTCTGGCGAAAAGTTCTGGTTGTTCGTCTACTCCTGGACTGCAGTCCTGCTCTAGAATCTGAGTGCTGCATGTGCATCAGTTTTACAGATCTGATTCACTTGAATGCATACTATTGGTTCCTTGCTTCTCAGGCAGACCCACTCTGACTTCAAAGGAAGCACCCAATTAGTCGACTCTTACGACATGCCTTTGGGTAGGCAGTTGGTCTATTCTTGTTTTCCCCACAATGGGACCCTGAACGCCAAACGGAGAGCATTATATCTAATGTTATATCATCCCACTGACTTTATGCAATACAACGTTTCAAAACCATTTTTTTTCAACGTAGAATGAACTGCAAAGGGGGAAGCTAGCGTTCTATCTAATATTATATCATTCCACTGACTATGTAATACAACTTTTCAAAACCATTTGTTTAAAATAAAATGAATTATACGGGTGAAGCTAGCGTTATATCTTATGTTATATCAACCCAATGACTATGTAATACAACTTTTCAAAACCATTTGTTTAAATTAAAATGAATTATACGGGTGAAGCTAGCGTTATATCTTATGTTATATCAACCCAATGACTATGTAATACAACTTTTCAAAACCATTTGTTTAAAATAAAATGAATTATACGGGTGAAGCTAGCGTTATATCTTATGTTATATCAACCCAATGACTATGTAATACAACTTTTCAAAACCATTTGTTCAAAATAAAATGAATTATAAGGGTGAAGCTAGCGTTATATCTTATGTTATATCATCGCAATGACTATGTAATACAACTTTTCAAAACCATTTGTTTAAAATAAAATGAATTATAAGGGTGAAGCTAGCGTTATATCTTATGTTATATCATCGCAATGACTATGTAATACAACTTTTCAAAACCATTTGTTTGAAATAAAATGAATTATAAGGGTGAAGCTAGCGTTATATCTTATGTTATATCATCGCAATGACTATGTAATACAACTTTTCAAAACCATTTGTTTAAAATAAAATAAATTATAATTTTACAAATCCAAGAAAAAGTAAAAAAGTAAATGTCCGTTTACACGCCAGTGGTGCATAGGACGTATATAGGACTCATATTTATTTTAATAGACCAAAAATTGATTTAGTAAACATCACACCGGCTACCTTTACTTCCCAGGACCTTATCTGGTACTCATAACACAAGTAGACTACAGTATTTTGTTTACTGTCTTTATTCCAACCAGGAAAAGTCAAAACAGCTGGATGTAAAGCGATAAATTAAAGAAAAAAAAAATTATCGATTAGGGAGTTAATTGAGTCCACAGCTGCCAAAAATAATTGTTTTTATTGCGTAATCGTGATTCGGAAAATTTGATTGCTTTAACAGACCACACATGCAACTACGAAAGGTAGTATAGGTACAAATCTGCCCATATACTACTGTGTTATTTGTTCAAGCGGATGATTCACCTGGTCGAAGATTCTTCCTTTTGTGCTTTTGATGCTTCATGATCACTATCATCAGCATCATCATGTATCTCTTATTTTCTTCTTTTTGATTTAAATCTTCGTTTTCTCTTGTTGTTGTTGTTGTTGTAGTTGTAGTTGTTGTTGTTGTTGTTCTTCTTTTTCTTCTTCTTCTTCTTCTTCTTCTTCTTCTTCTTCTTCTTCTTCTTCTTCTTCTTCTTCTTCTTCTTCTTCTTCTTCTTCTTCTTCTTCTTGAGCTTTTGATACTTCATGATCATTATCATTATCATCAGCTGCAGCAGTTTCATCTTTCTTCTGTTTTCTTCTTCGTGATTTCCCTCTTCGTTTTAACTTGTTGTTGTTATTGTTCTTCTTCTTCTTCTTCTTCTTCTTTTTTCTTCTTCTTCTTCTTCTTTTTCTTCTTCTTCTTCTTCTTCTTCTTCTTCTTCTTCTTCTTCTTCTTCTTCTTCTTCTTCTTCTTCTTCTTCTTCTTCTTCTTCTTCTTCTTCTTCTTCTTCTTCTTCTTCTTCTTCTTCTTCTTCTTCTTCTTCTTCTTCTTCTTCTTCTTCTTCTTCTTCTTCTATTTTCTTAACCCGTATTTACGGTTTTACGCCAGGTTCAAGAGGCATGTGGAGCCAGCCTTGGTGTGAGCTACGTAGATGCTGGAGATTCGTGATGGATCTTTAGCTCCGCTTTCTTTGTATCAAAGCACAGTGCTCTCTGTGGTATACTGTTGTGTGGCGATCTTGACACACGTTTGAACCATTTTACCTTTCTCTTAATGTGGTTTAGCACTGGTTCTAAAAAAACATTTTTCATGATATCGTCGTGTCTTATCCTAATTCGTATTGTTACATTTAAGATTCATCGTAGCTATGTCAGTCCTGTTGTTTCGAATGTCTGTTTTCCTTTTGTTGTGAATATTCACAGTTAGCACATGTAACACAATATCAAGTTTTAAAAAACATTATTGTGTATTAAACAGTCTCTTATAGTGCAAATTGTTACTCAGCTGTCTGCAATATTTGTTATAATTGTCTATTGGATCAATTTAATTTATTACTATATTATGTTTGTTTCTATGTTTCTATTAGACGATATTATGCTTTCTAAATACCAAAAGTATTTTGATTGTTTAAGTTGTTGATATTCTATGCTTATCTTATTTGGTGACGTCGTTCTTGCACTGGTCATAGCTTGTTTCAGTGTTAATGACAACATATTATTTACTTTACGAAAGTTGTCTTGCAAAATCAGTGTGTTACTGGATCAGACAGAATGTACATCATAAGACGTTTGCTATGGGAACATTCGTATTCAGTTAGTCAGCATGCAAGGTGTGTCTAAGCTGACTCTAAACAAAGTAGGCCTCTATTGGGAAATCTACTACTACTGGAAGAATTATGAGTTACGAACGGTTGCAAATAGCAGTCTGAATTATTATAATGCAAGAAATCAGGGAATATCTTCTTCTTCTTCCTAAAGTCCATTCCGCGTGGCGTTGCCAGTCATGTCTATGCACAACTCTCTGTCTCGTGTACTTTCAATCAACACTGACACAGATGATTCTCTATGTCATGATAGCAAACTGTCTAGCATCATTTCTCTCGGTCTCTCTCTCTCTGCCTCTCCTCCCCTCCAACGTTCCCACTGTTAACGATCTACTTCAGCGATGTACTTGTGTTTCTCCTTCTCATCACACGAATGTAGACTGTCTCTTTCTGATGTGGGCGAACAGTTCTCTTCGTGAGTCAGTTTCTTTCAAGACATCTTTATTACTCTTTTTATCTGTCCAGTGTATTCTCATAACTCGTCTATAAAACCACATTTCCGCAGCTTCCAAATAATTTTTTTTAAACAAATCTATCAGTTGTCTATGAATTGCTTCCTTATATCAAGATAGGATATATAGCTTTTATGAATTCGCTTTCTTCTCTCAACTGACAAAGAAAGATTGCATAAAATATACTTAACTTTGTAAAATGCTGAGAGTATACGCAACAACTTGTCCCCTTTATATCTATAGTAGAACTTTTAGCCTTCTTGGTCATGGCTGAAGAACTAACAAGTCCAATGTCTACGTTACGAACATAATTATTATACTAGCAGATGAACATTGAAAGGAGTTGCCCTTTGGATGTATGTTGATAGATGCGTTGAAAGACCCACATAGAGTCAGACAGACATATAAATATATAAATATATAGACAGGCAGGCAGACAGACAGACGGATAGGTATATAGACCACAGACAGATAGATGTAGGAAAGCAGGTCGGTACAGAATGCTTCTAGGCGAGATGCATACTTCCCATTTTAGCTTTTATAAAGTAAACTTTGAGTTACTTTACCTTTCAATATTCATGTACACTATGCTAATAACGTATATTCCCGTACCGCCTGCAAACACAACCGTTTTCTTACAGCCAGCTTTAAGGAAGATCACGCACGCTGCTTATATAATCTGATGTTTATTTAGGTGACTCATCCCTTAAAGGCCATCGATTAGGGTGAAGCACACGGTGTATACAGGTTACGTCCAATCTGTATCAATCCACAGGAAAGTAGATTTACAATCCGCAACAGGCTTTAGGTAGAAGTGTTCGGCAGAACATACGATGGTGAATGAAATTATCAAGGAAGTTAATGAATATTAACGAGGCGGTGATATGTGTGTTTAAGAAAACTCCGAGAGGTAGGAGAAAAATGCAGCATGAGGAATGTCTAGATTTTTGTTTCTTCATCTTTTTGGTAATATCTGTTTTAGCCATCCTTGTGTGTGAAATGTTAGGTGGAGCATCACAATGATTCTATACGTCCTTTGTTATAGTGTGGTCTGATTGTGTCGGTCTGGATTGGTAGCTAGGTTCGGTGTTCGTGAATATCGATCCCTGGAATACGCATCACATTTTAAAACTATAAATGATGGCGGTCTGACAGGGAGGAATGAAGCATTAAGCCCAGAGACGGCGCAAATACCAAAAGTTTAGCCACGAAAGTGGCGCAAAAAACAAGACCATAAATATAGCCAGAGACCGTTGGCAGCTTCTGCTAGTTAGCAGAAGGTTGAACGTGGCTATCTTTTTTATTTTTGTTTCTCAAAAATAATTGGAATTAGAATTGGGAAGAAGA